AAAAAAAAAAAAAAAAAGACAACCCCGAGGCACGTTACAAAAGTCCCGGGAAAGACAAAGCGGCCGCGAGTTGCTCCACGGATCTTTGGGGAGTTTCGCCCGGCGGGGTGAGGGCAGAGGAGAGCGGCGGGGCTGGGGCAGGAGCAGAAGCGGGAAGAGCGGCGGCAGGACCACCCCTGAGGGGCGCTGCCCCCGCCCGCGCCCCGGGGGCTGCGGGGCCGCTCCCGCCCGGGGGCAGCCAGGCCGGTACCGCCCCTCCCCGCGGCGCCGGGCCGCCCCCCGCCCGCACGGCACCGCGCTCACCTGTGCGAGGCTGGGCCCCTCGCGGCCTCCCCGGCGGGGGCAGCGGCCGGGGCATGGGCGGCCGGAGGAGCCGGAGCCGCGGGAGCAGCCGGAGCGGCCGGGAAGAGCCGGGAATGTCACCGGGGCCGCCGCGCCGTCACTTCCGCCCGCCGCGCCGCGAGCGCCGCGCGCGCCGCGCGCGCCCCACAGCGACCCCGCGCGGCCGGAGCGGGAACGGCGGGATCGCCGCCACCCGCGGGGCTGCGGGATAGCGCTGGCCCTGTCCCCGTGTCCCCATGTCCCCGTGTCCCTCTGTCCCTTTCCCCTTGTCCCCGTGTCCGTGTCCCGGTGTCCCCGTGTCCCTGTCCCTGTGTCCCTGTCCCCGTGTCCCTGCCCCTGTGTCCCTGTATCCCTGTCCCTGTGTCCCTGTCTCTCTGTCCTTGTGTCCCTGTCCCCGTGTCCCTATGTCCCTGTCCCTCTTTCCCTGTGTCCCTGTACCTCTGTGCCTGTGTCCCTGTCCCCGGGTCCCTGTCCCTTTATCTCTCTTTTCCTGTGTCCCTGTGACCTTGTCCCCATGTCCCTGTATCTCTGTCCCTCTGTCCCTCTGCCCCTGTCCTCCTGTGTCCCTGTCCCCGTGTCCCTATCCCTGTGTACCTATCCGTGTCCCTGTATCCCTGTCCCTGTCCCCGTGTTCCTGTGTCTCTGTATCGCCGTATCTCCATGTCCCTGTGTCCTTGTGTCCCCATGTCCATGTTCCCATGTCCATGCACCTGTGTCCCTGTGTGCCTGTGCCCCTGTGTCCATCTGTCCCTGTATCCTTGTGTCCCTATGTTCCCATCTCTGGGCACCTGTGATCCTGTGTCTCTATATCACCACGTCTCCGTGTCCCTGTGTCCTCGTGTCCCTGTTTGCTGATGTGCCTGTGTCCCTAAGTCCCTATGTCCCTGTGTGCCCGTGTCCCCATGCTACAGTGTCTCTATGTCCCTGTCTCTGAATCTGTGTCCCTGTGTGTCCATGTCCCTGTCACTGTGTCCTTGTGTCACTATTTGCCTGTGCCTGTGTCCATGTGTCACTGGGCCACCATCACTGTCCCTTGTGTCATTGTGTCACTGTCACTGGGTGCCTGTGTCACTGTCACTTCATGCCTGTGTCCCTGTCCCTGTGTCAGTGGCACTGTGTCACCCTGTCCCTGTCCACCTGTGTCTCTGCCTCTGTCCCTGTGTCAGTGTCACTGTGTCCCTGTGTCCCTGTCCCTGTGTCAGTGTCACTGTGTCTGTGTCCACCTGTGTCTGTGTGCCTCTGTTCCACCTGTGTCCTGAGTCTCTAGTCACTGTCCCTGTGTCCCTGTGTCACCAGCCCTGTGTCACTGCCCCTGTGTCACTGTCACTGTGTCCCTGTCCCTATCACTGTCCCTTGTCACTGACTGTCCCTGTCAGTGTCACACACACCCACCAGCACCCCTCACACACTTGGAGCACGTTCTCCCCTGGACACCGATCCTGGCGATCCTGCGCTCCCTGAGACCACAGAATCCCGGGATCTTTGCGTTTGGAAGGCACACCTGGAGACTGAAGCCCCTCGGGCTCCATGCGGGAAGCATGCTATGCAATCAGAGTGACACTGTAATGCCGTCTTTAATGATAGTAATGCACATTTTAATCACTGTATTGCACACTTAAACTTTGTAATGCTCTCGTTAAACATTGTCCTGTTCTGCACCCCGGGAGCTGTCCTGCACAGCGCAGATGTCGTCCCTGAGACTCAGAAATGTGGCAGGAAATCATTTCAGCATGGTCCATGAATCCTGATCAGGGCTAGGAACACCTGGGAAATTCAAGAGTTAAGCATGCACCGTAGATCTGCTCGTGGCACAGACTCAGTCCAGGGCTGGTAGCACAGAAAAGTGTGGGAAATTTACCCGCACCACCACCCAAATCGTGTGCATGGGCTCGGGAAAAGCAGACATCATGCCACCTCAGAAGCATTTACCACAATTGGAGAGATGAAGAGATTCAGCTAGAAGCAGAACCACGCATTCAGGAATCCAGAATTATTTTTTTAAACCGCTACTTTGCGAGGTACTTCTCACCAAATATGTAAAAACAAAACGTCCCATCAGGGAAGGTGAACGCATTATTTGCAGTGTCAGCATGAAGGAAATCACTAAAAAAATCTATACAAAGACAAAACCTTCCCCGTGCTGGGGAAGAATCCAGAGCCCGCTCGGATTTCTTACGCGGCTTGAAGCATCAACCTTCACCACTCAGCTGGCTGGAGGGGGAGAAAATCCAGAAGCTGTATTTCCAGGGAACAATGTGCTTTGGAGGCACGGCTCCTGAAAGAAAGACACCCGGAGGACACCACGCAGCTCACAGGTGTTGGGACACGGCAGTCGGGAACAGGCGGTGCGGTTTTGGACGGAGTACAGGAAAGCATAAGGACACGGGCGAGAGCGGTGAGCATCTGCCTTGGGTTTGCAGGAAGAGTGATACACGGGAAGGAGCTCCAAGACTCCACGGCTGAAAGAATCGGCAGGCTGGAGGCTTTACAAAAGAGAGGGAAAGGAATTCTGACTGTTTCAAGTACCGAGGAATCAGTAAACTGAGCGGGGAGACACCAGTGATCTGTAGATGTCTGAATGTAGCAAGTGGCATCAAGGGAGAAGGCTGGGGATACATTAATGATTTTAATGGGGTGAAATTACAGAAGGGCATGTCTAAGCTGAGAATCCGTGTGGAAAGCTTTTGAATGGAGAGCCACAGGCTGGAAAATCGTCTCCCTAAGGGAAGTGGTGAAAGCTTTATTGCCTGAGATTTTAAATGCCAGATTAGGGGAAAAAACACCAGGGGACTCATTCTGAAACATCAGAGAGATTGGGTTGAAAGATTGGGAAGAGAATAGGAAAGGCTGGAGGTGGTGCTGGCTCCAGGAATTTTGGGAGTACAGCCCAGCACATCTTCTGGGCTCCTCTGGCTCCGTATTACCACTCTCTGACTGTGTCTGCCAAGAGTGCAATGATTTCAGCGTTAGTTACCCCACAAGGGCGTGATAAGAACTCCTCCATCAGGAAGAAATGTGGTTGAGCAAAGGGAATCTTGGCGCTTCCCCAAGGACAATGGGAGGAAATCAGCTCAGTGCTGGAGCACAACCCTGAGCCACATTCTCTTGTCAAAGTAAAAGCTGGTTGTGATTTTGCCTCATAAAGGTCTTCCAGGCCCTCCTCTGTCCCTGCTCCCTTCTCTTTTCTAGCCCCAGGCCAAAAGTTTCCCTCTGGCTGCAGACTGAAGAATGACTTTTCAAAAGCTCATCTCCGAGGCATCCATAGGCACATTGCTAACCCTATCCTCTGCAAAGGAAGCTTCACTTTCCAAGCAACATTAAACACCTATTTTCCAAGTCTCTGAAATCACAAATGTGCTGCTGATACCCAACCAAGCCATCCCCCTGCTTCTCTTGAGGTCACCCAAGCTCCCCTGCAGCCACAGCAGTGGCCAAACAGGGAGCATGGAAAAGGTGTCCAGAACCACCAGAGTGTTCATCCATCCCGGAGGTACAGCTAGCATCTCCTGGTGAAGGAAAAGAAATTAAACATTTCCTCTCTGCTAGGTTTTATCAGCCAACATAATCCAATTAACCAGCACAGCTGCTTCATTAGCATTAGAGGCGTATTTATCAAGGGGCTAGAGGAAGCATTTATTAGATTAGTTTGTCATTTTGGAGTTGCTGGATGGTTTTTTTATTAGGGTTTACACAGTTCAGGACAGTGCAGTGCTGAAGGACTTCAAGGCAGAGGGAGGCAGCACCATGTCCTCCCATGTAGGTGGTACCTGGCAAAGACAGAAGGAATCATAAGTCTTACTTTAAACACACTCGAATTGGTAAAGCCTCTGCTTACTCACATAGGAGTAAATTAGGAGAAATATTTGTCAATTGGAGGAGCAGAACACAGCCAAGTATTGAAATTCTTTAGAGAAGTGAGCATTTAACAAATTAAGAAATGTTTCTGAAGTTAATTCAAGTTACTAACAGTGACTGCCTGCTTGGAAGCAAAGTGAAGGATTTCCTGCAAGGTCACACAGACCAGGATCACTATTGTTTCACTGCTGACCCTGTACTTTAAAAATTCAAAGAATAGCTTAGAAATCCAAAACACTTCCCAGACCTTTAAGACCTATTCAGTTCTAAATGTAATTTGAAAGATCTTTTACACACTTACCATTTGACACAAAAAATTTTGCTTATGAGTACCCAGAACAGCACTGAGTATCAAGATATTTAGAGTGCTTTACTGGAGATGGTACCAAATGCAACCAACTTACTTTTAAAAGAAATCTTGAAACTTTTAATATTTTTAGTTATTTTTAATTAAAGTTCCATCTTAATATCCTACATCTACCAAAGGATTTGTATAGATAAAAGATTTTTTTTTTTTATACTTTCAGTCAAAGGAAGACTGGAAAAGAACTACAATGAAATGTTTGCAACAGATGGAGTATTTCTACAGTACTAGCCAAAAGATACAGCCAAAAGAGATTCCATCCACACCTTTTGATTCAAGGCATTTTAAGTATAAAGCTACACGTCAGCTTAGAAGCCCTAAATTTGCTTGATGGATTCTGCGTTTTTCTAGCATTTTACTTTAATTATTCTTGGTTTAGCATCTAAATGTTTTCTTTTAAATAGATCCACAATACTTTGCTAGTTTGCAGATGATTTTTTTTTCCTAAAGCAGTTATTATTTTGCATATTGGCCTAATAAGAACAGTATGTCAATTTGTGGTTAAATGTGTATGAGTTTTCACTTGAGGCTGAGCCCCATTTTTCACAGCTAGTTCATAATTTTAATTCCTCTTTTTTTTTTTTTTTTTGTTGTTGTTTGGTTGGGATTTTTTTGAGGATTTTTTGGTTTCTTTTCTGGTGAAATTCCTCATGATTTCCAGGTGGGGGAATTGAGCACAGAGCAATAAAACATGAACACCTTTTTGCACATTGTTGGGAAAATGCAGTCTGCAGCTCAGCCTGGCCCTGCACCTGCTCTCATCTTGCAGGTGTTAACACAGGTGTCTCCAAAACTCAGTCTGAGATCTCAGAGTGGAGCAGGTGATGGACCCTGCAGGGACACTGAAGCAGCAGAGGCCTCCCCACTGTCATGTCCCTCTCAGTTGGATGTTTATTATGCAACAGCCAAAGGTCCAGCTGGCAGCCACCCGCTGTGACCCCCGTGGAAACATTCAACAGCTGCCAGGGCAGAGGGGGAAGCCCAGAATCAGGGGTTTTCTCAGCCAGCCTGGTCCTGTCTCAGCAGGACTTCAGCAAACTGCTCCTGTCCCAAAACACCGTAAGGAAAGGGCTCCCCGTGCAAAACCCAAGAGCTAAGAAACCTTTCCAAAGGGCTCCACAAATCTAGTTGATTTGTCTTTTCCCCGATTTCCATCACGAGCTGAGCAGTTGGACCTGACAGCTGTCCTCTGATTTACGCTGCGTGCGCTGGGGACGGCTCAGCTGTGACACACGGCTCGGATGCAGCTGCTGGGGATTTTTTTTTTTCCTGCTTGAGTTTCCAGTGCTAGGAAGCAACACGTGGCTGTGTTTGGGCAGCTCTCCAGACAGTCTGGCCCTGCTGCTCTCTAGATTCAGGCTCTTCACGTGATGTGAAATAGCAGCAGCTGGGGAGAACAGTCCCAGGCTTCACAACCAGCCCAGCACTTCACAATGAGGTGGAGCCATGAAAGTGCCAGAGTCCCCAGGAAATCCTCCCAAGCCTGGAGCTATGGTTATATGTGTGAGATAAAAAGTCTGCTAATCTTAGCCAACTAAGTCTTGAGGCTCTCATTAAAAATCAGGGCTGGTAGCACCCTCAAGCCCCATCTATCCCATCTTTGTATCCCAAATCATGATCAACACTCCCTCACATTTAAAACACTCAAGCAAATAATTTCTAACCTGCTTTTAAGGGCTTCCAGTGATTGAAATTCCTTAATTGCCAGGCTATGACCTCCAGTGCCTTGAACTGGCTTTCTTACACCATTCTTTGATGTCTACCCAGCCATGTTCTGATGTCTTCCAAGAATACAATTTCCCCTACCACAACAGGAGAACCAGATTATATTCTTGTTCTTTCCAGGTTCAAACACCATTCCCATGGCTTTTGTGTGGGTTTTACTCATAAGCAGTAGTTGTACCTGTAATCATACCTGCTCTACGGTGCCTGCTCCAAACTTCACATCAGCTACCTCTTGAGGTAATTTCTCTTGAGCCAGTTCAGCCCATGAATTTTCCACTTGCTTTTGCCCTTGTTTCCTACCCCAGAAGGAGATAAATATCCCCAAAACTAAGGCAACTCACCCTTTCCTCAGCTTGATTTAAACACCTGGAACTAAACTCCTTCTGCTGTATGAAAGAGGCTGGAGATTCCCATGGGTAGTGGCCCACTGGGCATCCCTCAATTCTTCCCCATTGAAGAAAAAAAACAGAGGACAGAGATCACACTTGTGGTATTTTATTGACACCAGTGTAATTTTGAATCTCTCTTCCTGCAGATCGGTGGAAAATCAACTTTTGCACTGAAGCAGCAGCTGTCATGGCCATAATCTCTTGCAACTCCAATTGCAGATTGTCAGTGAGAGCACCACTATTTGCCTGGATGCTTCCCAGGACGAACAGGCCCATGCTCAATGTCCTCAGGTGCTACCACTATTTCCAGATTTTGCTTTTTCCTGATCAACAGGAGATGTGCTGATTTTCAGCTTTGGTATCAAACACCTTCTAAAAGCTGGAGTGGGCAAAATGCTTCTGAAAGTGCGGAAGGCTGGTGTGGTGATGGCATGGAAGTAATAGAGCTCAGGGAACCCTCATGGAAGATGACTTTTGAGGTAGAATTGTTAAGGTCAATCTGACTTCAAAACCATCATGTCCTAGAATGGTTTTGCAAGATCTAGAAGGGTCTTACTGTGTGGTTTATTTTTGGTTTTTAAAATATGCCTGCGCTATCCACAGAGCTGCTTTACAAGTGTGTATCACAGAGGAAAAAATAACTTGTAAAGACAAGAGGAAGTGTGGAGGTTATTTAATGAAAAGTAGTGAAGTTTACAAGCACAAGGCCAACAGAGAGAAGAACATAGCAGGAAGCTGCCAAGGTACAGTAAGAATTCTGAAATGCATTGCTATGTACAAGTAGGCAACAGAAGGAAAAACATGTTCCACACAGGTCACTTGAGGTGAACTGGGGCTTGCTGGGCTATGTCTTCTCAAAAGGCAGAGCCTGGACCTCCCTCGTGAACTCTTCTTCCAAGGCTTTCTACCGGGAGAGAAAACCAAGAGGAATCAGGGACCACGAGACAGTTTCCAGACAGTGCTGGTAAACAAAACACAACTGCAGTGACCAAACCCTGGGAGGCTGTCAGCAGTGATGGGTTAACCGCTGAGCTGGACGGATTTGTCACTGCAAAGGGCAGACAGCCACAGGGAAACCTCCAAATGAAGGGCTGGGCAAGCTCAGCTGCCTTTACTCTGTGCCCCAATGTGATTTTGGACACTTCCCAGCTCACAGGTCCTCCCCAAAGGTGAGTATTCTGATCTCAGAACAGCCTCAGGCTGGGAAGGGGAGCTTACACTCCTGAATCAAAAATAAGTTGCGTACCAACTCCGGCAGTCTCACCTGAAAATGTGCAAAACACTCTCACCTCCCTGTGATTTTTGATCACAGGTTTAAAGCTTACCACCTGTGCTTTATGAGCAAGCAGGCACTAGCCCAAAGGAATGAAAACATGTTTTATGGGGCTCAAATATGGCCCAGCTCACTCAGGAAAGCTATGTATGAACTTCCCAAACAGCTTTATGGTGTTTGGCTCAACAGCTACATGGCAGATTACACAAGCATGGAGGAAATGGGCACTTTGTTTTACAGGGGAAGGTCCCCATTGCAGTCTACAAGGCAGCTAAAATTGGCTGTTGACTAAAATATGGTCCCTGGAACCCTCTCAGAGTTCAGGAAGAGCAAGGGAGCTTTTGAGACCTACACTGAGTGAATAAACATTCCACTGGGCAAAATTCATGGTGATATAGCTACCTAATCCACACTGGTATCATTGTGCCCTACTGCTTTTGCAGCTCAGACATCACTCCACCAGCTCCCCTGATCAGTATCTACAACTTCTGCCTCACCAAATTTCCCTATGAGAACATTAAGACTACAGTCTAAGGTGGGTAAATCCATAATCAATAAATACATGTAGCTCCTGAAAAGATAAAAAACCTCTTACAAGTTCTTTTCTCGCTTCTTCGACCTTCACTCGTGCCAGGGGAATGCTCTAATGAGAGAAAACGGCATAAAAATCAGTTTTTCACCAGGAAACAAGAGTCCCTGAACCTTTATAAGAGTCTAATGATGAGCCTCAGGTGAATTAATGGACAATTAATGAAGTTTTATCTACACACTTCACATGCAGAAGGTTGCAGAAGATTTAACTGCCATTAAAAGCCTAGTATTGGTTTGGTTTGGGCAATCACGTATTTTTCAAAATGCTGCAGGAGGGAACCGGAGAACCTACTCCCATTTGAACTTCCTGTTCCACTTGAGGGAAGGAAGAAGCTGCCTCTTGGAGGAAGATGGATTAAACAGAGCAGCAGTCCCACCTTTCTACCCACAGCCTCTTTTTTTTTTTTTCTAGGAACAAGACATTGGTGTTTGTATGAGGGAGATAAGAAACTTGCATTTTCATAGAGCTGAATACCCAGCACCCTCAAGAGAAACCAGAGAAAATGATGGAACAGACAGTTTAGGGGACAAAACCTACATTTGGCTATTTCTTCAGGATCCTTAAAATCCTGTTCAGAGCTCCAAACTCTGCACCACATGCTGTGTCCACCATACTGACAGCCCAATGACAGTTACAGCTAAAGTACTGGTAAACCTCAAAAAGTTGGTTAGACTAGGGGATGCCTTTTCATCCATATTTCTTTCTCCAATTTCTAGATAATTCACCTGAATACTAATTTACCCAGCAAAATCTGTCTACTTTGTTAGAAAAAAGTTTGCCTGACACAGAAACTTAATTTCTTAGCTTTGATTAATAAATAGAGATTAAGTCTTTGGTTTGCATCATTAACAGACCTGTAGGACATCTATCTGTTCACCAAAACCATCACAACTATATCCTTTACATTCTGAAGTCCACTAAAATTAACCTGATGGCAAATACAATATAACAGTGGAATAAATAGTTACAAGAGGTAAATCATGGTAGGATGCCACTTCATTCTTCAATGGCTCAATTTCTTTCTCCAGTGCAGCCAGTTCCTGCAGAGAGAGCAAAGCAGACCGTATTATAGGGAATTATTTGTAGAACTGATGGAAATGAATGAGATAGATCCACAGTTATCTACAGCATTTCAGAATTTGAGAGCTTTCATCCTGTATAAAACACATGGAAGACTGAAGTTTTGCACATACAGCAGCGAAAAGACTCTCCCTTATGCTTATCAAGGTGAAGCATTTTCTCTCTGGGGCTGCAAATTGAGTACCTTCCACAATTCTGAACTCTTTTCAAATAATGCAAGTTAAATAAAAAAGATTAAGTCATTTGTGCTGTCCATTTCACTGATGTCTTGGCAAAGCAGTTCTATAAATGTCAGAGTCAAATCTTACCTTATGGTTGGGCTCTAGAAGATGACAAGCTTAAAAAATTTGCCTGTGGCGTTTTGGATGCAAAATTCCAACAAAAATTAGTTCTGGTCAGTACCCTCCTGTAACACTGGGCAATGTGAGCACTGCCACCCAGTGCAGATTGGTGAGAACCACAACAGAGAAATCAAGAAAACTATTTTCACTGTTCCACTTGGAAACATAGAGGAAAAGATAGCTAAAGTAATGAGGAGAAGACTGAATTCCCACTACATTAATAGCAAAAATGAAGATGTGTTGAATGCATAGCACAAAGCTGTAAAATCTGTAGTTACTAACTCAAGAAATGTGCTTTTTCTTTAACATGTGTTCCACTAGGCCTACCATACAGTTGAAAAATGTTACATTTAAAGACACAACAAAAAAATTAGCACTCAGTGGTTCAGAATTTGGGTTTCATTTGTCCTTATCCCCTTGTTTTGAAGTGTTTTGAAGAGATTTATTTCACACAAAATAAAAAGACTCACATGTGTCATTCTATCAAGAAACTGTAATACACAAGTAGCCATTGAATGGGATATAGTCCACAGAATATCCACTGTGTTTATAACACAGACCAGAAATAAAGGGTGCAGATCTGTTTTCAGTGGCAGGGCGTTTATTCTGTGGAAATTCTCCAGTAGAATGTCTACTCTCTAGGAGAATGTACACTCTCTAGGAGACACAAACCCACCCAAAAGAGCCCAGTTCGTCTACAGGTTCAATCCATCCACAGGATTTGTATTTGTGCTTCCTTTGGCCATTAAGATTTGTTCAAGCAACCAAAAAGCAAGCTACAACTCCTGAAAGCACCCAACAAGCAAGCCTGGCCTGTCCCACTGTAAAAACATCCCTCTTGTACCCAAAAACCTACCTCAGACGATTTCATGAGTGCCTCATGTGTCAGGGATTGGTCCATCCCCATGGCAACAAGCTTTTCCTGTGAAGAGGAAAGGTCACAAAGTGCAACAAGAAGGAGAAAGATTTCACCATTTCCTTCTGTTTTTATCTAAACAGGCAGAGAAGAATGCAGGGTGTCCACAGCAGAAATGTGTGGCAATTTGAGCCACAACTATAGCTGGTGTATAAAATGAGGTGCTGCTAAAATTTGTATTAAGAATAACAAGTCTTTCCAGAAGAGTAGTGGGAGAAGGGCATATGGCAAGGCTGAAGAAAGGCTTCTCAGGAAAATGTCAACTGTAATACAACACTTTTAATTTCGTATTTGTCAAGGTATCAGACAGCATCCAAGCATTAAATGAGGCATTCACATGTCCTTCATCATTTAGGGAAGGTGAAGGAGCAGGCAGTACAACTTCTGCTTTCTGCATTTGGTCATCCTTTCTTTTCAAAAAATGGGTCATATTCATTATTTTGAGACACAATTTACCACAATGAATCAGCTGCTCTCTGTGTTCTCTTGTAGGACAGTAGCTCACAAGAACCACCAAGTAATCCCAGCTAACAGCTAATCCCATTCTCAGGGAATGAGGAGAGAGCACTGTACTGATCACAGGATATGCTGATAAGAGATCAGCAGGGACAACTGAACACTGGACTATATTTACACATGTTGCCCTGTTAGTCCAAGAGTCCCCAGTCCTGGAGTTTAGGAAGCTTATGGAATGCCTCTATAACTACAAATTTGGGCTCAACAAACCACGGCTGTATCATCTCATTGCAGTGTTTTGTAGGAAAATTTCTTCCACCTACCTCAGCATCACTGATCCTTATTTTTAGATCCACAGATTTATTTTCCAGGAACTTCAAGTCCTTTAATTGAATCTCAGCTTCAGCCTTTTCTGCTTCTTGAGATTCCTTTAATTTTTCAATATCCCTTAAAAAAAATACAAAAAGAAAAAACTGTTACATTCAAAGATATATCAGTATACAAATACTGTTACTTACCTACGCTCAAGCTAAACCCTGCAATACAACCAACACAAGAATGAAAAAAATGGAGAAAACCTCATATTTCTCTGTGAGATTTTCCAGTAGAATCATATACAGCTGTTACTTTCAGAACCCCACAGACCAGGGAAAAGAGTGGGAAAAGGGAAAGCCATTAAGCCTAAAAGCAAAGGGTAATAGTATTGTGCATAATTCTCTGACTCACTTAGAGACCTGTTACATGAGCTAAACCTCAGATCAAGGGGAGGCAAACCTGCACAAAGCACATGGGAATCTCTTCTACAAGCCAAACTACCACTTTAAAAGAACAAAAAAACACCCCACAAATAATTAGACTGGAAGGGAGATGTGGACAGCATCTGGGCCAACCTCTGCTCAAAGCTGCGGTTGATCTTGCTGGCAAAGCACTTCAGATTATATCCTTCAGGGAATGGACTTGACACTGTTGTTTTTTTTTAGAGTTATTACTATTATTACTATTATCTTCTACACAGTGGTTAAGGGAACTTCTTAACTGGGAATGGTTTTTGTTTTGCCTCCCTCAGTCTGACTACAGAGCCCGTGATAAATGTGCTGAGCAAATCAGATTTGTCTTCAGCCTCAGACAAAAGCAACTGGTGGAAGGTGCAAACTTGTATCTGAAAACTGCTTGTAGATCAATTTTGCTTTAAAATAATGAGGTTTGGTGCTTTCCCAGATCTCTTTTGATTACTGAAAGTATCCATAACACATGGGTTTTGATAGATACTTCCAAATACTTTGAACTGGAGATGTGTCAAACCCCCAAAAATTCAGTTACCCTTGCTAGTTATCACAACCGATGTTGCCCAAGACTGGTATTACTTTAATCTTTCCCTCTTCCTCATCTGTTACTCACTCCTCTAACTTCTTTTCCATCATCAGTGCTGAAGTTAGCTTTTTTGTGAGGGTGTGCAATTCCAGTTCCAGTTCTTCGTTTTCTGATTTTGTTTCATACAATTCTGAGGTCATGTTATTGATGGCACTGTAGAAGCTGGTGAAGAGAGAATCAGTGTGAATGCTTAGGAGTAGGCTTTTCTGAAAGTCACAGTTATTGTTATTCTTCTCTGCACACTACATGAATGACTTCATTTCCTCCTGATGTTATGGAAGGAGTAAATTAAAGACATTAATGGAATTTGATTTCTGTAACTAACACAGATTTCCACATGGAAGGGAAAACAGCCCAGCAACCTGAGTAAGTGAACAACAACTGGCACTGTGACGAATAAAACCCCTGGGTTTGAAACCACCATGTGCTCCACTCCCAGCTTGCTTCACTGCCCCTGAGAGAAACTGTATTCAGACCCTGAAGATACATGGTCACAAGATGTGCCCAGCAGCATCTGAGTCCCTTCCTCTTCCCAAGTGTCCCAAAGTTCTTACCCCTCCAGATCAGGAAGAGAGCTGTAAGAATCAAGATCCTAAATATCGCGTAAAAATTGGATTCCAAGGCAGATTTTGCCCCTTCTTTGCTGCAAGTGCTGCAGTGTCACGGGCCAAAGCCATGCTAGGGAGAGAGGTCCAAAGAGACCAGACTAACAGATGCCATTTCTCCATGGCAGAGGGAATCTCCTCACATGAACTGAGGCCACATGAGACAGACAAGCATGACAAGCTGAGAACGGAAGACCAGTCACAGTTCCCCAGTCTCTGCTTAAGCAGTATGAACACTGCTTGGGGTACCTGGCACAACAGTCCAAATGGTAGCAGCCTGCAGCCACTGACCACAAAAGCATGAAAAATAAAGGAGAGATTTAACTCCATCCCAGCCCTTCTCAGGCTTCAGAGTATTCCTGTGCTGGGATAACCTAGAGCTAGCATGTGGGAATACAGCTAGAAAACAGGACTCAAAGTACTACTGAACTCATTACAGAAGTGGATGTGCTAGCTTCAATGGACCACAAGCCCTGGCAAGCTAAGGCAGAACCCTGAATGAGGAGGAGATAACAGTGTGCTTGGTATGCTTTGCTTGAGACAAATCATGCAGGACTGTTCATGTCTGTGCAGGGCTATGGCTTAGCAATGTTACTAAGAAACATGATTGTTTCTAATTTTAGCTATAGCGGAAAAGGTATAAATACTGAGCTTTTGGAATCAATAAATGGCTTCATTGATACAAATCATGGAGACTCTGTCTCATCAATCGCCTGACACCAGCACATTGTGTTCAGTTCCCATGCACCCCAAAACTGCCCAAGGGGTGAAAAATAAGCCTGACAAATAATATTCCTAGTGTCAAGTTTGAAGCTGCTGATGTGAAAAAACAAAGGAAAACAGCACAGACCATTACCATGAATGCAGAGTGTGAAGCATTACCTGGTAAGAGACGTGTCCTCCACTTTGAGTTCCACTGCACTTTCTACCAGATCAGTGAGGTCTGTGATGGCTTCTAGGGACAGACTGCCTTCAGAGAGACCCAAGCTTTCTCCAAGAATATCCTGCCAGTACTTAGCTGGAAAATATACACAACCCAAAGTATTGATTTTTTTAAATATTACTTTTCTTTTATGGAACTCTCCAAAGCTAGAACCCAATCCCACACCAGGAACTTGGCTACCTACCTGTTGTTGAGGGAAAAAGACACTTTAAAAAAAGGCTTAAATATGCCCAACTGTTGCCACATATACATTTGTCAAACAAATTCAGCGTATAATGGGAGAAAGCACTACTCCACTCCCTCCCTGACCAGCCTGTCTGACATCAGACAAACAAGAGCTCATCACTGTGCTACAGCAATGAGCACATGCTGGTCATCTCCCCACAAAGCTCAGCCTGAGCCTTGTTCATGGCAGACTGTCCTGGGGTGGCTTTATGATGCTTGTGCCCCCAGTTGCCTGGTTTATGTTACATTTTAAGTTCTGCACCTTTAAGACTGGCTCTGTGAGTGAAGTGGGGGAAGAAGGGCATAATTTGTGTTGAGGAAAAACATCACTCCCCCGTATCCTGCTCCTGGACTGCAGTGTCTGCAGCATGGACAGACAGTGGGACAGAGCTTCTCTTTTATTGTTAGTTAGTTTTTAGCTAGCTGAGGCAGAAGAGTTCCCTGGTTTTTCCACTTCTCTCCAAGGAAATCTCTTTTTCCCGAACCAGCTGGGGGAGGGACCATTTGAATTTTGCTTTTCTGGGGGAACCCCATTTGGAGGTTTTCTCCAAGACACAGACCCAGGAAGTCTGTCTCCCTCTTTTTTTGTTTGGTGGCAAGGCACTTGAAGGAACAAAAAACAAACACGTTTTCTTACAAAAAACACCTTCATGTGTACTATGCCAGCCTTTACAAAGAAAAGCAAAATTCCTTCCTGAGAAAAGCCTGGGAAGGGACAGTCCTTTATTATGTATGCTAAAAACATACTATGGTCTCCTGAATCACTCACTTGCTCAAAAAAAATCCAAACAAAACATAAAATAGTCACTCTAGGCAGCTTCAGCACAACTTAATCACCTTGATGTTGTTTCAGGTTCCTCCAGGGAGCCTCCCCCTTAACAGTGGCTTAACACCAGCTCAGATTCCTGAATGAGCTGCAGAGACAATTCCCTCTCTATCCAGGCAATATTTCCATCCTGTGCTATCCAGTCCAGCTGACTAGGATGTTTTAGCAATTAACCTGTTTGTCCACATTTATGACTGACTTAAGATGGTTTAAAAAATTGTCCTTGACCAATCTCATGTCACAGTAAATTTAGCTGAAAGGAAGGTGTGTGATGCATTATAGTAAAAAGTGCATCAGAAAAAAAAGCTGAGTCTGTTTCAATTACATATTATTTTATATATTCCTAAGTTTTTAACAAATACAATCTTCAGGATCAGTCAGAAAAGCCTAGCTCTGATGGAACTGAGAGATGAAGCTTCAAACTCACCTTCTTCTTCGTATTTGGCAGCCCGGTCCTTCATGTCCTCTATCAGCAATGTAACATCCTTGTCTCTCTCTTCATTGCACTCCATAACTTCATGCAAAATATCCACCGTCCTTTCATTCACCTCATACTCTGGAATAGGCATATCCCCATATATTTTCTTTAGCCATAAGGTAACCTGCCAGAGAAGGGAGATGAAAGACAATCATGTGAAATGACAGAAAATAGCTGATAGATGCAAAAAATGTAAACAAATGCAAACTCTGCATTTTTGAAGGGTACCTCCTACATCAATCCAGGAGGCATGGGTGGGAAAAGGGAAGAAAAATTCCCTTCCCTCTTCTTTAAACATATTCTGTGGTCCAGAAGACTACATTGTATCTCTTTTAGTCTCCCTCATTTCTTTGTACACCTGCTTATCTCCATGTGATAAAACTGTTTATTTTTATTCACATAACCTGTTGGTTACAGACACAGCAATAACCCAAGAGATGTTAAATGGGTGTTTGGAAAACTGGTGAACGCTGTGTTAAAGCGTGTGAGATAAAAATGTCCAAGCCATCACTGGGAACAGTCTCTGCAGGAGAGTGGGAGAGAGTCACCACAATGTGCAGGCACAAACCTTGCAAAGCAGTTTCATCGAAAACAAGGTCAGAAATAAGAGATCAACACAGTGCTCTCACGTAGGGCTGTGATTCTGGAATGATAGAATTGTTTGGGCTGGAAAAGCCCTCCAGGATCAAGTCCAACCATTCCCCAGCACTGCCCAGGCCACCACTGACCCATGTCCCCAGGTGCCACACTCATACAGCTTTTAAATCCCTCCAGGGATGGGGACTGCACCACTGCCCTGGGCAGCTGTGCCAGGGCTAGGCAGCCCTCTGAGCGAAGAAATTTTTCCCTAATATCAAACCTAATTAGAATAGAAAGGTTAGATTGTGACCAATAATAAATTAAAAACATGGAAGTGTTAAGACCATAAACTCTAACATAAACCTGCCTAACAAACCTGACAGAGAATGGAAGCAGCCGTATAATTTTAAAAGTTTGTGTTTTTTTTTTTTCCTAGCATCTCTTTCCTCATCCCGCTGCCGTACCCGCTCCTCAGCGACCTACACAAGCAGCAACGGAGAAAACCACCGCACGCTCCGGCGCAAACAGCACGAACGATATGTGTGTGTGTGTGTGTGTGTGCGTAGGGAAACTGTGATGAGAGAAAGCGAGCCCCGCCGGCCCCCGTTACCCGTATGAGCTTCTCCTCAAAGGGATCGCGGGCTTCCTCCGGCGCCGCCGCTGCCGCCATGCCGCCCGGAGCCTGACGGGAGCGGGCGCCTGAGGGGCGGGCCGGCGGGCGTGGGGTACAACGGAGGTGGGAAAAGTAGTCCTGAGAAAGCGTTTAAGGGTGAATCGGGATTCTGAACAGTCTGAATCGAGTCGTCTCTTAGTTAAGGGAATATGTTAAGAAACTCCAAGCGAACCCAAACAACAGCAAAAAGAAACATAAGAGATGCAAGAGGAAGACAGCGATAAGTACGGCAGAAAGTCGTCTGGTGGTGCTGGTGCCAGTAGCTGGACAGGAGCCCAGGGGTGGCCAGGTGGGCGAGAGGCCAGTGGCCCCTGGGCTGTGCCAGCCAGGTGTGACACAGCCCCAGGGCAGGGCCCGTCCCCTGTGCCGGCGCTGCTGAGGCACCTCCAGTGCTGGGACAGCTCTGGGCCCCTCAGCACAGGAGAGACACCGAGGGGCTGGAGCGTGTCCAGGGCAGGGAACGGAGCTGGGGAAGGGGCTGGAGCCCCAGGAGCGGCTGAGGGAGCTAGGAAAGTGGCTCAGCCTGGAGCAAAGGAGGCTCAGGGGGCCCCTGTGGCTCTGCACAAATCCCTGGCAGGAGGGGACAGCCGGGGGGGTCGGGCTGTGCTGCCAGGGAACAGGGACAGGAGGAGAGGGAACGGCCTCAGCCTGGGCCAGGGCACGTTTAGATCAGGTATTCAGAAAATTGTTTTCACGGAAAGGGGTGTCAAGCCCTGGCCCGGGGGAGTGGTGGTTTGGTTTTTTTTTCCAGGCACTTTTACAGAAATTTAAGTGATTTCCGAAATAATCAGCATGGGAAGAACTGCTGAAGAATCACATTTGGTACAACACATGCCAAAATAGCTGAGGATTTTTCAATTAACCTTTTAAATTCCCAGAAGGGGAATCCACTGGAATCTGTGGCTTTACTGACCTCTCTGGATTACCAGAGGGACCGATCACACTGTGCCTGAGTTTCAGCACTTTCTCACTGCCTGACCAAGTCCTGTCTCACATATGGGACATAAAATCACCCCCAGCTTCAAACTGAGGTGGATTCTGCCCCTGTGCCCCTGTGCTCAGGTGAGACCCCACCTGCAGAGCTGCCCCAGCCCTGGGCAACAACAGCACAAGGACGTGGAGCTGCTGGAGCCAGCCCAGAGGAGGCCACGCAGCTGCTGCCAGGGCTGGAGCCCCTCTGCTCTGGAGCCAGCCTGGGAGAGCTGGGGCTGCTCCCCTGCACAAGAGAAGGCTCCAGGGAGAGCTGAGAGCCCCTGGCAGGGCCTAAAGGGGCTCCAGGAGAGCTGCCCAGGGACTGGGGACAAGGCCTGCAGGGACAGCACACAGGCAATGGCTTCCCAGTGCCAGAGGGCAGGCCCAGCTGGGATATTGGGAAGGAATTCCTGGCTGTTCTGGCCCAGGTTGGACATAGCTTGGTGTGGTGTCCAACCCTTTAGGGGAATGGAGCATCCAAGATTTATTGTGGTCAAAAGGAACAACCAAAGTCAGAGACCACCCAAAAGTTTCACAAGTTAAATTACACACTTGATATGGAAATTAATGTTAATCTTTGACCTCCTCATATATGCTCATGGCAGTGGGTTTTGGATAAAGGGCTAGGATGACAGGGAAGGAAGCAGGATTAAAGAGGGGGAGAGAGGAAGAAAGTGGTCACCAGGCTTGGCTCAAGTATTGATCCAGCTGGTGCAGTGTCTAGGGTCCTGGGGTGCCTGTGCATATGGTCTTGGTGGGGAAACCTTTTATAGATGAGTTTCCTTGCCCTGGAGGTAACTTTCTCACATTCTATGCAAATTTATCATCTGCAGTTCATTCTTCTAGACCCTTCTGGAAATGGGTTGGAGGGCTTCAGGGGTGTCTGGTAGTCTTGATTTCCTGTACAGTCCTAGACTGCTTCTTGGCTTTATTCCTGGGCTGTGTTTGAGCCCAGGAACTAGAATGTTTGTCCCAGAAAAATGCTGCCTTGTGTCTGAATGGTGCCTTCTCCAATCACATTCTCTTCCTATTCACAGCTATGTTTTTACCAACAAACCTTGATGGTTGTTACCAACAATCCTTGGTTGGCTCCAGTTATCCAGCCATTGGTGTTTGAGGCACACAACCTCTTCTTTTATACTTGGGGCAACCAGATTTAATCCATTAAACAGATAGCAGCTAACAAGCAAGCTCTGAGTGATGTCCATGTGTTAAGAGAAAACAAACTGCTGGTGGAATTGCCTTGTCAAGGTTTAGGGCTTGATATGCTTCAATGATCTCAGACCTTGGGGGAGGTTAACAAAGCCTGGGAAGGAAGGATGTACCACTCAGATAGCGGGCACAGAGAATGCAGTTTACAAGCCACAGGGACATCTACTTGAACTTCGAAGATGAGGAAGAAACTAAAAAAGTGAACGCAGCATCCATGCTGAAATCAGCTCTAACTAGGTAAACAGTAATTCTGGCAGGGGGAATCTGCAACAACTGATCCAAGAAACCCCCTAACCCAAGAGAAGAGAAAGACTGGGCATGAGAAACAACAGAATCATTAACCAATAGAATACTAATAAATAAGAGAACTATGTAACACCTAGCCAGTGATTGCTAGTTCCTTTGTATGCTAAAATATATAAATGGTGAAGTGTTTTGATAATTCTGGAATAACACTGAGCACCCAGGCTTGCAAAACCCTGCATTAAATAATCAATGTCTCTTTTGTGTGTCTAATTATTGGCTTATTGCACAACAGGTAAGGAATCAAATTTTTGCAGACAGCATTGTCACTGACCCATCCCTTTCCCTACCCATGATAGCGAGCCCCCCCAGATTTGCAACCTCCAAGATTAAATCAGTAGCTGTAGCAGGACAACTATGATTAAGCAGCTGCATATTGTGAGTATTGTATGCTTGGCTGACATTTTTAAGGAAATTGAGATGATTCCAGGAGACATAGTCTGTTTGGATGAGAGCCACAAGGACTGAAGTCAGCAGGGCTGCACAGTATCTTGGAGAAGAGTAATTCTGGCAGTGGAAGATTGTGGCCAGCATCTCATTGACCACCAACTCAAAACAGATTAAATAAAAGGAGAAGCGAGAGATCTAACTACCAAAGAAGAGCCTGAGTGGCAATTAATTGAAGTTGTAGTTAATAGAACGGTACTAAGTAACAGAGAAGTTATGCAATTTGTAACCAGTGAATGCTGACGCCTTCGGATGTTGAAATGTATAAAGAGTAACGTTTGGATGATGGGTATCCTAGACACCGAGCCAGCTGCTCTGTGGTAACTAGAAAAAGAGATAGAAATTCCAGGCCTCGGTGTGTGAAATGGTGCTGCACACCGAGGAATGAGCCCGCGGGGTAATAACACTGCTGTCCCTGAGTCTGTCCCTGTCTCTGCCCGTCCTTATCCCCGTCCTCTTCCGTGCCCCAGTCCCTACCTTTGTCCCTGTTCCTTCCCGTGCTCCTGCTGTTGTCCCTACCCACGTCCCCGTCCCTCTTCCTTTTCATGCCCTTGTACGTGTCCCTGTTCCTTTCCGTACTCCTGTCCTTGTCCCTGTCCCTGCCTCAGTTCCGGTCCGTATATTCCTTCCCGTGTCCCGTCTCCGGTCCTCCCTCACTCCCCGCCCCTTCCGCCCGCTCAGGGCTATTTCAAGGGTACCTCCCTCCGCGGGCTTTTTTTCTAAAAAGCTATTTTAGGAATTTTGTAATGATTTGTATTATTTTTATTGCATATTCTACATATTTGTGCGTAGACAGATGGATGGATAGATACACACACACACATACAAATCAGGGGCACGGGAAGCAGCTCCCGCGGGCCCCACCCCCTGGGCGCGGCTTAGGCGCCAAAAGGGGCGTGAGGGGCCGCCGCCATTTTGTGTGCAGAGCGCGCGGCCGGCCGTCCTCAGCGCCCCCCAGCCTCAGCCTCCCCCGGGACCCGCTGCCGCCGCGATGCTCTCCGCCCGCGTGGCCGCCGCTCTCGCCCGCTCCCTGCCGCGGCAGGCCGGCCTGGTGAGCCCCATACCCGCCCCGGAGCCGGCGGGGCCGGGGGGACGCGGCGCCGCCGCCATCTTGGGGGCCGCGGTGACATTGAGGGTGTGTGGGGGTGACATCGGAGTGTGGGGAGGAAAGCACGGGGGGTACCGTCAGTGCTGTGGGAGAGACCCCACTGAGGAGCGGGGTGTTCTTGCCCGGGCGCGGGGTAGTGATTTAGAGCTGCCAGGACAAGGTCAAGGGTGTGGGTGTGAGGGGTTTAATCTCATGTTTGTGAGGAAACGGAGGGTGGGAAGAGCCGTGAGGAACCACTCCTGCCAGTGTTTCCAGTGAGTATGAACAGGGCCTGCTCGGGATGCAGGGCATTAAATGGCGTCAACGTTGCTGCATGGTGCTTCACGGGCAGCTTTGCCTGAGGTGCAAAAGCATGCTCTTAAAATGCCCTCATTATCACAGATTTTTTATTTAGTGTTTAAATTTTCATGAGAAGAATTTCTTCACAGAGGGGTGATTAGACATTGCAAGGGGCTGCCCAGGGGAGTGGTGGGGTCATCAGCCTTAAAGGTGTTTGAGGGTATAATGCACTTAGTGCCATGGTCTAGTTGGCAAGGTGCTGTTTGGTCATAGGTTGGACTAAATGACCTCACAGCTCTTCCAAAGTAACCGTGATTCTGAAGTATTTTTGTTATAGTGCTTTGCGGGTTTTTTTTTTGTATGTGTGTTAACAATACCAAAACCACTGCCGTTAGATTTGTCTTAGAGGACGCAATCTTTTCTCTGTGCAGAACCTGTGCAGTGATTTCTTTATGCCCCAAGGTTCCCATGCTCAGCACAGAAATTACAAATGTAAGGAGGTTTCTCTTTGGGAGCTGCTGCAATGGTTGATGGTGACATCAGTGCACTGCAGAAAAATGCAGTGAGGGATTTGGAGCAATCCCCTTCATTATCTGTTCTTTCTTAGCCGTGCTGGACTTGGTTCCAGAGCTCCATAGTTGTGAGTGGGGTTCTGTGGAGCTTAACTCAAAGCTGAGATGCATCATAAGCAGCTCAAGATCAGAGATGTGTTAAATCTCTCAGAATTTTTTTTTGATTATGAGTTTTTTTGATTATGATTTTGATTTTTTGAGTATGATTAAAGAAATCTTACTGTTACTTAAATGGTGACTTATTTTAGGTTTCCAGAAACACCATTGGCGCAGCATTTGTTGCTACAAGAAACCTCCATGCCTCCAAACCAGGCTTTCAGAAAACTGGTAAGTCTGAGAAAGGTCTTGAGTGTGATTTAAGAATTTGGTCTGTCAGACAAAAAGGAATTTGATGATGGTGAATGTTAGGTGACAGCACTTGAGGACATTTATGTTCCGAGAGTAATTAGGTGAACTGTTACCCAGTTACATCCAGCAAACAGCACTTCAATAACTTGATAATGTCCCCAGAGCAGGGGTGGCCATATGTCAGCTGGCTGACATAGCATACCTTCTTCCCTAGGATTCCAGTCACCTGCAGCATTATTTGAAAATTATTTGAAAAAAATAGCCCCAGATTGGAGTTGCCTGTAACAGAATAAAGGAGTGGATGACTTCCCCAGGCCTGCCTGGGTTTGACCTTGTGTCCTTGAGCACAGCTTTATTTTGCTGGCATCAGTCTGGTGTTCAGAGAAGACAGCTGCACTGTGTAGCAGTGTGTTTGGCAATGCTTCATGCACATTTTTTTAAGTGGTTTAAGGTGATTAAGGGCATTACTAGGAAATAAGTTTTACAGTGTTATTTACTGTTTCTTAGCTGAGGAGGTAACAAGCTGTTTTGAAGTCAAATTGAAGAAGTATGGACAATATGTTTTTATGTCAAATAACTTGCTCCTGAAACATAATGAAGTTCCTTTATATAGGCATGGATCTTGGATTACAAATCACTTGACAGGGTGTTTTGATGCATCCAAGGCTAAGTAACTGTTCTGCAAGGCCTGTTCTACCTGGGCTAAGGCTGATTAATTAGTCTAATTGCTTTCTAGGGAGAGAGAACCTAGGGCATAATCAGGAAAGTGGATAAGTACGCAGCCAGGCCTGATTTGCTTGAAGCTGGCTGCTAATGATGAGTTTAGGCTGCTTTTATTATCTGGGAATACAGAGGCTGGTATTTCTCTTACCCTAAGTAAAGGTGTTGCCAGCTAGACTTTGCAGCACAGCTGAGAAAGGGCACCTTGTGAATTTGAGGCAAACTTACTGAATGCATATTGTACCTTAATGTGCTAATCTGATTTCAAACATCTCTCTCCAGGTACTGCTGAGGTATCCTCTATTCTCGAGGAGCGCATCCTGGGAGCTGACACCTCGGCTGAGCTGGAGGAGACAGGCCGCGTGCTCTCGATCGGTGACGGTATTGCCCGCGTGTATGGCCTGAGAAATGTTCAGGCAGAAGAGATGGTTGAGTTCTCTTCAGGGCTGAAGGTAAGCTGTCACTAAAGGCGTTCCTTTAGCATAGGGATATTAAAAAGATGTTTTTTTAAGAAGGACCTGAGATTACGCTTGGAAATACCACTATGAACATTGCGTTAGCCTCATTGTAGCTTTAATACCTAGTAACTAGTGATTTTTTTTTCTTAAATTTGTAACACTGCTTTCAGTATCAGCCTCTGACTCTCAGCTGCCGTTTGAACATTTGAGCTTGTCTTTTCCTTCATTTAGAAGATAAAAGGACTAACCTGGCACTGGATTTTTTTCTTTGTTTTCAGGGTGTCTTTTCTGTTCTCTATTTAATGATGACCTTTCTGCTTCAATACATTATGCACCTTGATGGCTTCTTGTAGTCATACCAGTGGGTTAGAAGAGTTCAAGCTTGTTTCAAGAGTACTGTAACAGCATTTTTAATGACCCATTTCGTCTTGGGCAGAGAAGAAACCAGTCCTTTTCCCTTGCCCAGCTTATAGGCAAGGCAGTTCTGTTGTACTTGAACCTTGCTTAATCTTTCTGTTTTTTGTCGTGAAACAATTGACTTGAGTGCTAGGCTGCTGGGGTATAACTGCCTGGTAAGTTGAAAACTTATGCAGGTTCTCTAGCCCATGTGGAAGGAAATAGACACTGTGCATAGAAGCAGAACCTTGGCTATTGTCACAAGGTTGACATAGATCATGTAGGATTTTGTACGCAGTTAAATAATCATGTCAATATTAAAGTTTTTATGCGTATCAGTATGGATTTTCTCAGGGTGATGTGATCTCTGTCCCAGGGTATGTCCTTGAATTTGGAGCCTGACAACGTTGGTGTTGTCGTGTTTGGTAATGACAGACTGATCAAAGAGGGGGATGTTGTGAAGCGGACTGGTGCCATTGTGGATGTTCCAGTGGGGGAGGAACTGCTGGGCCGTGTTGTGGATGCCCTGGGCAATCCAATTGATGGGAAGGTAAGTGTAGCTGTGTGCTAACTACCTCTACTTACATCTCTGTGAAACAGTCCTCAGCAGTTTTTTCTCTCTTTTAGGGTGCTATTGCATCTAAGACACGTAGGAGAGTTGGCTTGAAGGCCCCTGGGATCATTCCCAGGATCTCTGTGCGTGAGCCCATGCAGACTGGGATTAAGGCTGTGGACAGCTTGGTGCCCATTGGTCGTGGCCAGCGTGAGCTGATCATTGGTGACAGGCAGACAGGGTAAGTTAAAGCCTAAAATGTTCCTTAAACAGACCCAGGTACAGCGGAGCTGGACAAAGGGTTGGCTAGGGGCTGGGAGAACCTCGGGCAAATTAATTTACCAGCCTTTCTGTTCTACAGGAAAACTTCAATTGCAATTGACACGATTATCAACCAGAAACGATTCAATGATGGCACAGATGAGAAGAAGAAGCTGTATTGTATCTATGTTGCAATTGGCCAGAAGAGATCTACTGTTGCTCAGCTGGTGAAGAGGCTCACTGATGCAGGTATGGATTTTGGGAGATGGTTGAACCTGGCGCCTAATGACATCCTGTTCTCTTTGTAATGCTGAATACTGCTGTGACCTCACCTGTCTGCAAGCGTAGACGGAATTCATATTACATGAGTGAATTACTTAATTCTGTGAATAAGAAATCTCTATAGCTATCTGGGGGAAAAAACCCCAGTTTTTATATATCACAATTAGGAAAACTATTTTGAGGCCCCCCCAAACTGCTGAATTGCTTCTGGAAAAGTCACCCAGTGGTTTTAGCTTTTTTTTCAGCAGAGTTGAATGCTACATCTTGGCAGTCAGGCAGGCCTGGTGACAAGCTGTGGCCTTCAAGTTGTCATGAACTTGGCATTTGTCCCATTTGTTCTATGTGCCAGTCTGCCTGAATGGCAGCTGGAAATGCGAAGAGCTTTCACTGCCCAAACACAAGGCATTAAATGATAGCATCTCTTCAGAATCAGTGGTCTCTAGGACCAAGACTCCATGTTTAACACTGCTAGCAGGAGATCAGGCACTTTGACCACATGCTTGGTGGTCCTGCCATCTGTCATAAAAAAACCCACATTTTTAAGGACAGTAATTACGTGGAACTGTCACAGAGTGTTGTAGTGTC